TGGAATGCAAGGAGATCCAACCAGTCCATCCTAAAGGAGATCAGTCCTGCGTGTTCACTGGAAGGACTGATGCTGAAGCTGAAACTCCAATACTTTGGCCACCTCATGTGAAGAATTGACTCATTGGAGAAGACCCTGATGCTGGGAGGGATTGGGAGCAGGAGGAGAAGGGGAAGACAGAGGCTGAGATGGCTGGATGGCATCACCAACTCGATGGACATGAGTTTGAGTAAACTCCGGGAGTTGGTGATGGACAGGAAGGCCTGGCGTGCTGCGATTCATGGGGTCGCAAAGAGTCGGACACGACTGAGCGACTGAACTGAACTGAACTGAAGCTTTTCCATGTCCTTGAAATGCACAGCCCACTTTGCCTGAGACCGCAGCCTTGGGCAAATTAGAACTTCAAGCAAAAAAAATGGAAAAAAAGCCGGGGGTGGGGGGTGGGGAATGTGTCAAAGAGACATTTTTAATCTCAAGCAGATAACTATGAGATCTCTGTTTGTCTGTCTGTCTGGATTTATTCATGTCTCAGTGTGTGTCTTTTGTGTGTTGTCTTTTAATAATATTGTTGAAGTTGTTAATGAATTCTAATTTAATTGGCCTAAAGAAAAGTAAGCGCTCATCAGACAATTCTAAATACATGAGAAATTAACCTAAATGAATTTCGGATTCACGTGAATAATTCAATATTAAATATCTAGTATTAATATTTGTTTGCTAATCTAATATAGACATGTCCAAGAGTCATTAACATCAAGCATATTTTCATCGTGCCTAGCTTTATTACAAGTTAAATATTGTTATATTGTTATATCTGTTACAAGTTTGTCAGCAAGGAAAGTACCTCAAGTGAAGGAACTCCCCCCCCCCAAATGTAAGTGAGATGTGAGCTTTGAGATAAACTCTATTAAGAATAATTATACTTTAGCAATGTCTGTCTAAAACAGTCTCTGAAGAATTGGGGTTCCTTGAATTTCTAGGTTTGTACTAAACTGATAAAAGTTTATTGACTAGCTAGGTCATTTCCAAATAAAATAAGATTTTGAAACATTAATTACTGAACACTAACTTCCTCTTACAGAGAAACTAAAGGGATTGTGGACTACTAAGAAATATGTTTGGTGACATCCTGAGATGTTCTCTATAAGAAAGCAAATGTTTTTAGAAATTAAAGCTGGTAGCGATGCTCACCAGTCTACAGAATGCCAATATAAAGGACAGTTCATGATTGTTTAAGGAAAATAAGATGTATGTTTTTTAGTAAAAAAGGTATGACACATGAAATTGCAGTTTATTAAGAAAAAAGAAAGTAAGTCTGACTTACAGGTGGCTGTTTCTAAATAAACAAAGTGACTTTAAAGAAAAGAGAGAGAAGTTGAATGGAAAGTGGACCCCAAGAAAAGACTTTTGTACATAATACAAGTTTTCTTGAGATGTTGAACAGCCCTTGATAATGGATTTTAAGTTTCTTTATCTCTGAAGTGATCAGTTCTATGTTTACCATTGAAATCTCTTGTTAATTTTGGCTAAGCGAGTAACTGTTGTTTCACAATGATCTACATGATCCTATCTAACTGTTACAGACCCTGCTGGTATTTTTGGCAAAATTTCTGAAAATTAAATTCTAATGCAGTTCTTTTGACTTTTAGCTGACTTTGGGGTGCTTCATAGGGCCCCTGAGACATCCCAAAGAGAGGTATTAAAATGCATAGGTTCATTGGACATGCTAAATTACATGGGACGTATTGTTGGAGAAGTGATACATCTTCTCAGGTTTACTGTATGGTTGATGTTACTAATATAGATATCCTAAAATTATATGGAATTCATAAATACCTGATATGTCCCGATAAAAATTGTCAATTATAATTCTAGTTATCATATTAAAGTGTTACATGTCAAAAAAAAAAATAAAGTGTTACATATCACAGCAATGACCAGGTTGCTTTGTCAATTGCAATGCAAAAGATTTTAAACATGCCTTTTATGGTTTCACTCTGATGTCTTTGGAAGAACACTGCTAGTTCTTCAAGATTTATGGAAAAGACTTTTTGAAGATTAACCAGATAAACAAATTTTGTTATTAACAGTAAACTGGTGCCAGACTGGAATTTGGCTTTCTGTCTCTGTTAAGAGAACAAAGGTTTCTTAGAATGCGGTTCTTGATGACAGATTGTGAATTTCTTTGCCTTTAAGTGAGATTTGTTTTTAAAATCATTTGTTACTTTGGCAAAGTAAATAAATATTATTTCACAATGATCTATGAAGATTATGGTACCTGTAGAGAAAGGTTAGCCTGCTTCTACAAAATTAACCCCTCACTGTCAAACTATTGCTATCCTGATGTCTTTGAAACATGGCAATAGTCTACTCCTAAATTGGGGGGGTTTAAACTGGGTAAGCTGTAGCTGTAAATCAGTCAGGGCTTTGGGAAATCCAAGATGGCTGCTTGACTTTTGCTGGCTTCCTAATGAAGGACATTTTTATTTGATGGGATAAAGCCTTCCCTGGCTGCAGGGTAAATGCCCTCACAGAGAAAAATGTTTCTGTTTCACTGAACTTTGCATTCTAGTTTTGTTATTCACTTCCTTGTTGTTATGTTGTATTGTTAAGATTTTCATCAAGTTGTTACAAGGACACTCTAACTTTGTTTCTAAAGTTTTTATCTGTAGTCAATCTCTGAAAGATCAAACGTTCTGTGATGTACATCCAGGAAATTCACACCTACTATTGTTATGCCCGATGTCCGAATCCCCAAGCGGGAATAGAGAAAGCCTCCAAGACAATGTAACTCGCAAAAAAGGGAAGTTTATTGCTGACTTGAGTCAGGGCTCCTGCCGCATCCAACGCAGTGGTGCGGGGTCAGAGAGCCCCAAGCCCAAGCTGTTACACAAATTTATAGGGTGAGCATAAGCAGTTGGTAGCTGGCTTAAGCGGATTGGTTACATGTTTGCAAAGCAATTTTATTGGTCCAAACTTTCGCGGGCTTTTTTCAAACTTGGGCATTCGCGGGCTTTTTCAGCTTTCCCCTGATAGCTTCCCTTTTTCTTACTGGGCGCATGTTGATTGGCTGGCTCCAGGTGGCCTGATGGGGTAGGGAATCTTACCATTTCAGGGGAAACCTAAACTTAGGTCCGGGCCGCCTGTCATGGTGTTAGCCCTGGCAGCCTCACATTCCCCCCTGTCTTGTTTCTGTAGAGGAATCTTTCTCTTCATCCTGGGCTACCATCTGATATTGTTGTTTCAACACCATAATCTGAATGGTATTTAGACGTTCTTTAATAAATGACATTAGCCGGTTTAAAATACAAGGGCCAAACGTGAGTATTAATAATAGCACTATAAGTGGGCCCAGGAGGGTGGAAACTAAGGTGGTCAGCCAGGGGGAGCGTTGAAACCAGGACTCAAACCATCCCTGCTGGGCCTCCCGTTCCCTCTTTCGTTGCGCCAGTCTTTCTCTCACTTTTGCCATAGATTCTCTTACCACTCCTGTATGGTCTGCATAGAAACAACATTCTTCTCCTAGAGCTGCGCAGACCCCACCCTGCTGGAGAAAAATCAAATTTAATCTTCTCCTATTCTGCAAGACCACCTCAGACAAGGAAGTCAGAGACTTCTCTAAGTGGCTGATTGATTCTTTTATGCGAGTTATATCTTCATCTATAGCGGCTCATAGGGAGGAAAACCCTTGGTCTTGCAGAGATAGTGAAGCTATTCTTGTCCCTGCTTTTGCCAGCCCAAGACTGAACAAGGTTGCCATGGTGATCGCACTGATTGGCTCTCTCTTTTGTCTTAGCATTTCCCGATCCCAATGTGAGTACATAACCTCTTCAGAGTGGTATAAGATTTTTGGCATTACAGCAACCAGGACACAGAATTCTTGACTCTGGTTAAAAACCTTCACATTTAAACATGGGGTTAGCCCAGTATGTGAACAAATCCACCAACCCCCAACCTCTGGCACAATCCAATTTTTGCCGTGCAAGCGTAGGTTACCAATAGTCTGGGCACAAAGGGGAGTTTTATCACGTGGTACTGTGCCCAAACAGAGTCCCTGTCCCCAAACTTCATTCACTGTGAGGCCAACCTTGCGTTCTTCCCATCGGCACTGGGGTGGGTTCTGGCCTGAAGACAAGTTGTAAGAGATGTTGAGGCCTATGGCCTCATAGAAGGGGGGATGAAGATTATAACAAAGCCAGCAGGATTGAGTCGCATTAGGGTTGGTACGGTTTAAGACTGTAAAGGCTGCATTCACTAAGGCCCATAGGGGGTCCTGAATTGCTGAGCTAGTGGTAACAGTTAGAGGGCCAGGGGTTTCCGTCAGGTTGCCTCCGAGGCTCAGGGTAGAGGAGATGTTAAATGTTCTCGGTGAGCTTGGTCTGGAGGTGGTTGGCTTGGTGGTTGCCTTGTGCCCTTGTGATGTTTTGACCAGATTGGGACCTAAACTATGTACCTGCACTGGCTCAATAACCTGTTTAATGATTAAAAGCTCACCTGGGTAGGGGCCGGGCCAATTTACGTGAAGCTGAAAGCCCCAAGTCAGTCCTGAGGTCCAGCGGTTTTCCTTCTTCGCCCGTTCCTGGTTAAACTGTACTCGTACCTGGGGCCCCTGGTGTCTGTGGTCATTGAAGGTGAAGTTAACTAGATCTCTGTTCCCGACATCCCACCTCTGGGGTCCATCACAGGAGGTCACACAACTCCAGCTCCTGCCATAATAGCTTCCTATGCCACCACAGGTTTTCCAGTTATTTCTTATGTTGCCCGGGCAAGCCCAGAACCCCAACCTATGGTTCTCTATCCCATCCCTATAGTACATATCATAGAGACCGTCTTGCTTAGCGAAGAGGACCGAGAGACTGAAGTATAGGTCTGGCCACCAGGTGTTTGGAGGGTGGATTCCTGAGGTCTCGTTGAGTAGCTCATGAGTCTGCCCGTCGTTGAGTTTCCAGGTGATCTTAGCAGGTTGATGAGGGTTGTGACTGGCCGCTCCTGGGTCGATGACAGCTGCCATCAGCAGGAGAATTAGGAGGCCTCCCGGCGGGCGAGTTTCAGTTTCAAAGGATTTGACGGATGAGGACTCGCCTTCCATTCTGCTCGCGCTTTTTCCTGTTCTTCCGGTGTGGCTTGCCGCACGTGATTGCAGTGAACCCAGGGTCCAATCCCGTCGACCTTGACAGCGGTAGGAGTGGTATGGAGAACAACATAAGGGCCTTTCCATCTAGGTTCTAATACTTTAGATTGGTGCCATTTTACCCAAACCCAATCACCTGGGCCAATACTATGTGAGGGGATGGCCCCCTTATTTTGACCCTCATGTATCTCTCAAATCAATTTCCAAACATGGTTATGCACCTTACTTAATGCCATCAGAGTTTGCTGGAATTGTCCCAAAAGAGGGGATAGCAGGCATTTTCCTTCAAAAAATAGGACACACAGGAGGGGGTCTTCCATACAGAATCTCAAAAGGGGTAAGATTCAGCTTATAAGGGGTGTTATGCGACCGAAAGAGTGCGAAGGGAAGGAGGGTCACCCAGTCCCCACCAGTCTCTTATTGCCGACTTTGTCCGATTCATTCTCTCAACCTGTCCTGAGGTCTGGGGATTATATTCACAATGTAATTTCCATTTTATCCCCAGAGCTTGGGCCAGCCCTTGTACAATCTGGCTCACGAAGGCAGGTCCATTATCAGAGCCCATAGTCACTGGCAGCCCGTACCTAGGCACTATCTCCTCTAAGATCTTTTTAGCAACCACTATTGCTGTCTTTCCCTTAGCGGGGAAGGCTTCCACCAACCCTGAGAAGGTATCTACCAGAACCAACAGGTAGCGATACCCGTACTTGCCTGGCCTTACCTCAGTGAAATCTATCTCCCAGTGTTGCCCTGGCTTTTCTCCTCGGTACCTCGTTCCCGTGTGCTGCTTCTTCCCTGCCCTCATTAGCTGGCATGCTTTGCAAGCCTGAATTATCTCTCGTACAGTTGCATTTTGTCGAGGGAACCTCAGGCAGGCTGTCTGGGGAAGTGTTAGGGTCTTTTTTCTTCCCAAGTGTGTAGTTGTGTGCAAGTGTTCACACAGGTGACGACCCAGGGTGGCAGGCAATATCAGGTTGTTGTTTTGATCTTGGTACCATCCATCTTTGTCATCCTTCTGGAGGGTGGTATCCTTGTTGATCCAGGCAAGATCAGGGAGGGAATATTTGGGAACTGGTGGCAAGGTCCCCATACCAGGAGGTGGAAGTCCCACGAAAATATGGGGGTGGCATAGTCCCAGCTAGCCACTTCTCGAGCGGCCGCATCAGTGGCACGATTGCCCCGTGCCTTTGGGTCCTCTCCTTTCTGGTGACCGGGGACATGTACTATAGCTACTGCCCGGGGCAGTTGGACAGCTTCCAGGAGCCTGCAAATTTTTGACCTCCTTTCCCTCAGCTGTCCAAAATCCCCTTTCTTGGTATATTGGACCTTGAATATGGGCAGTGCTGAAAGCATATCGGCTGTCAGTAAAAATGGTGACTCTCTTCCCTTTGGTTCGCTCCAGAGCCTGTATTAGGGCAATCAATTCTGCTTTTTGCCCAGAAGTGTTTGGGGGAAGTGTCTCAGCCCATATCGTCTGTCCTGAATCATCAACTATGGCGGCTCCCGCCTTTCTTTGCCCATCTTTTACATAGCTGCTCCCATCGGTGAACCATACTAGCTCACTGTTGTTTAGGGGTACATCAGTTAAGTCTTTTTGTGCCACCAGGGCCTCAGCCAGTATCTCACTGCAGTCATGGAGAGGGCGGTCTTTCTCCGGGTTAGGTAGGAGCGTGGCCGGATTCAGGAAGCAAGGGGTCTGAAAACGCACCCATGGGGCATCGAGCAGCAAGGCCTGGTAATGTGTCAAGCGGGCATTGGAGATCCACTTACCCGGCGGCTGCTTCAAAACTCCTTCAATGGCGTGGGGGGTATAAACCAAGAGTTGCTGTCCATGCGTCAATTTGTCAGCGTCGCAGACGAGGAGGGCAGTGGCTGTGATGATGCGAAGGCAAGGGGGCCACCCAGCAGCCACCGGGTCCAATCGCTTCGAAAGGTATGCCACCGGCTGCTTCCACGGTCCCCATTGTTGCGTCAAGACCCCCTTTCCTATTCCTTGCTTTTCATCTACAAACAGCTGGAGTGGCTTATTTGGGTTAGGCAGGGCAAGGGCTGGGGCTTCTAGTAGGGCCCGTCTGAGTGTCTAGAAAGCCTGTTTCATTGGCTCAGTCCAAGTCCAGTTTGGGGTCTCTTTACTTCCCTCATACAAGGGCCGGGCCTTCTCAGCAAACCCCATGATCCACAGTCTGCTATATCCAACAGTCCCCAGAAACTCTCTCACCTGGCGGGGGGTCTTGGGCTCTGGTATCTGCAATACTGTTTCCTTCATGGCCTGGGTAGACACCTTTGCCCCTGCCTGATCTTATACCCCAAATAGGTGACCTCTTGCCGGGCTATTTGCGCCTTCTTTGTGCTAGCGCGATACCCCAAGGTGCCTAGGGTCTGTAAGAGGTCCCCGGTGGCACGGCTGCATGCCTCCTCTGTGGTTCCAGCCAACATAAGGTCATCTACATATTGTAGCAGAATGACCTCTGGGTGGCAAGTCCGATATTCATAGAGGTCCTCACTCAGAGCCTCATTAAACAAGGTAGGGGAGTTCTTGAACCCCTGTGGGAGGCGGGTCCAAGTTAATTGTACTACTGGTTGGCCTTCTCCCTCGGTCCACTCAAAGGCAAATATCTCCTGGCTCTGGGCCGCCAGGGGTAGGCTGAAAAAGGCATCTTTCAAGTCCAACACAGTGTACCAAGTGTACTCAGGCAGCAAACTGCTCAGGAGGGTATATGGGTTAGGGAGAGTGGGGTGTATGTCAGTCACCCGTTTGTTGACTTCTCGCAGGTCTTGGACAGGTCTGTAATCTGTCCCCCCTGGCTTCTTCGCTGGCAGTAAGGGAGTGTTCCAAGGGGATTGGCACCGCTTGAGAATTCCGGCATCCATGAGACGTCGAATGTGCGGAGTGATCCCCTGCCGAGCTTCCTGGCTCATGGGGTACTGTCTCACCCTCACAGGAATTGCCTTGGCCTTTAGCTCGATGACGACTGGATGTCTCTGTTTGGCCAGTCCCATTTCTGCCGTTTCTGCCCAGGCCAATGGGTATTTATGGACCCACGGTTGTACATCTGGTGTTATGGTTTCTAAGGGCTTAGGCGCAAAAAGTCTGTATTCATCTCTTAAGGCTAGGAATAAGACATGTATCGGCTGTCCAGGTCCATCCATGACTGACATCCCCCCAGGGTCAAAATGGATCTGAGCAGTAACTTTAGTCAACAAGTCTCTTCCAAGTAGAGGGGCTGGGCATTCTGGTATCGCCAAAAACGAATGGGACACATGGTGGGTCCCCAGATTTACTTTTTGTTCTGTGGTCCAACAATATCTTTTTGTCCCCATGGCTCCTTGCACCAAGCTGGTTTTCTTAGACATCGGTCCCAGTTTTTTATTTAAAACAGAGTGTTGGGCGCCAGTATCTACCATGAAGCCAACGGGTTTCCCCTCCACATGTATGGTTACCCAGGACTCGGGGAGGGGTGCCGAGTCTTGACTCCCCTAGTCACTATTTTCCCCCACATATAGAACTCGAGTTCCAGGGGAGATTCTCTCTCTGGGTCGTTCCTCTCCTTGGGTCCCTCTTAAGGCACTCGTTTTTCCAGTGCCACTGTTCTTTACAGTAGGCGCACTGATCTTTCTTTAGGGCCTGCCTTTTTGGTTTCTCTTTTTCTCCCGTCCGGGGGTCTTGAGGTTCCCTCAATTCTGTTCTGGCCTTTATCCCCACAAAAAGAATCTGGGCTAGCTTCCTCTGGTTCTTCCGGTTTTCCCTCGCCCTATGTTCCCTATCTTCTTTCCTGATCTTCTCAGCTAATTCCCTTTCCTACCGTTGAATTCGTTCTTCCCTTTCTTCTGGGGTCTCCCTATTATTAAATACCCTTTCAGCTGCTTTCAGTAAATCCTGTATCGTCTGTTCTCCCAATCCCTCTATCTTTTGTAATTTCCTCCTAATGTCTGGGGCTGCCTGATTTACAAACGCTAACAGAGCTGCAGCGCGTGACTCCTCAGCCTGGGGGTCCATAGGTGTATATTGCCTAAAGGCTTCCATCAGCCTCTCTAGGAAGGCTGCCGGGCTCTCAGTGGGCTCTTGCCTTACTAAATTTACCTTCGCCAAATTTGTCGGCTTTCTTGCTGTGGCCCGCAGGCCAGCCATCAGAGTCTAGCGGTACACTCGGAGACGCTCCCTACCTTCCGCTCGCTCAAAATCCCAGTTAGGCCGCAACAGAGGAAACCCCTCGTCTACGAGATGAGGCTGGGTGGTTGGTCTCCCATCGACCCCTGGGACCCGTTTCTGTGCTTCTGCCAGAATTCGCTTCCGTTCTTCTGTGGTGAAGAGCACCTGCAACAGCTGCTGACAATCGTCCCAGGTGGGATTGTGAGTGAAGAAAATGGAATCTAAGAGGTCAGTGAAGCCTTGGGGTTTATCTGAGAAAGGAGGGTTTTGGGTCTTCCAATTGTACAGGTCACTTGTGGAAAAGGGCCAGTACTGATAGGTTCGCTCTCTGTCCGGGTTAGCTGGTCCCACTCAGACGGGGAGTGCCTGAACAGTGGATGAAGGTAACTCTGGGTCTCCAGGGTCTTGCCCACCCCTATCTCCCCTAGTTCTCCCCCTGGTCCCCAATGCTGGTCCCCCCTCTTGGTCGGTTCCTGTTTGCCCTCTTAGCTCTCTCGGTTCACCCATGGGAGCTTCTCTCCTCAGAGGGAATTGCAAGGGGGCACATATGGCGGAGGCCTCATCTCCGTTTCTAGATTCATCAGGTTTGGATAAGATGATTCCTGAAAGACTAGTTTTGGGTCCTCTTTCTTTTTGGTTTCCTCCGGGGGGGGGGGGGGGGGGGGGNGTGAATTAGAAGAACTAGGAGGTTTGTGAACGAAAGGTTTTAACCACTTAGGCGGGTTTTCCACTAGATCCTGCCAAACCATGACATAGGGGACTTGACCCGGATGGCCCCAGGGATCAGGCGCCATAATCTTCTCCTTCACAGCCTGTATGATGGACGGTTGAAAGGTGCCTTCCGGAGGCCATCCAACCTGGAAGGCGGGCCACTCTGCAGAGCAAAAGGTTATTAAGTTACTTTTCTTGACTAGCAAAGACAAGTTATGGGCCCTGGCCCTGACATCCGAAAAATGGTCAGTCATGAGGGAAAGTGGGGTGGATTCTCCCTGACCCATGGTCAAAGAATAAATGGTAGGGAAGAGAGAGAAAGAGAAGAAGGCACTGAGAATGACCACCAAAAATCCTACCGGGAGTGGTGGTGGCCAAGAGGTTGGGCTTATGGTATGCTTCTGGAACTGTTTATATGCCTGCATCATTGCACGGAAGTTTTCTTGCTGGGGGTGGGCACCCTAGGGGTTTCTAGCCCATTCTGTGACCTCCTTATCCTCTCACGGGAGTCTTCAAGTGGCAGGCGCCCTAATGGCCTTTAAGTGCCTGACCCGTGCCCACATGGAGAATTTTAGGCCACGTCCTCAGTTAAGGGATGTTAAAGGAGAGTTTCACCCGGTCAGGCTCTAGTTACTGAGGCTCACTTATTGTAGGGCCTTCAGAGTCTGCCAGAGTGTAGCCCTGGCCGGGACTCCTCATCAATTGCCCCCACAACCGTTCGCTGTTCACTGAAACTCCTGAAAAGAAAAGGAGTTGAGGGCAGATCAGAGAAGAAGAAGAAAAGGAGAATAAGTCAGAAGAGAGAGAAGAGAATGATGCTCCAGAAGAGAACGAGACCAGAGACAATGCCGGCACACACAAAAACAAGGAGAGCCGAAGACAAACACACGGACAAACGTCGGCCGACAACACAGAGCTGGTTTTTCGGGCCCCCTGAATTTTCTTGCCCCCCGGTACTAGGTTCACCTTACCGAATGGCGTCCGCTGCTCACCAGACTTGGGATCAGGAGAGGAACTCTCCTTCCTGCAGAGCCGGCTGCCTTCCAGCGCGTCCGTGGGCCTCGGTCTTACGCCGGCTGGCCTAACCCCCTATAGAAGGCTTTCTCCAGTGCCAGATACCTTCCTGCCTCACAGCAGGGCCTCAGATTTACACTGGACTTCTTGTCCTGCCTGAGCACCGGTGCTATTATCTATCCTTCCCCTCTGTCCTGGAAGTGTCCGTTTCCCCCAGTCAAGGGATCCCGGACGAGCCCCCAAATGTTATGACCGATGTACGAATCTCCGAGCAGGAAGAGAGAAAGCCTCCAAGACAATGTAACTCGCAAAAAAGGGAAGTTTATTGCTGACTTGAGTCAGGGGTCCTGCCGCATCCAACGCAGTGGTGCGGGGTCAGAGAGCCCCGAGCCCAAGCTGTTACACAAATTTATAGGGTGAGCATAAGCAGTTGGTAGCTGGCTTAAGCGGATTGGTTACATGTTTGCAAAGCAATTTTATTGGTCCAAACTTTCGCGGGCTTTTTTCAAACTTGGGCATTCGCGGGCTTTTTCAGCTTTCCCCTGATAGCTTCCCTTTTTCTTACTGGGCGCATGTTGATTGGCTGGCTCCAGGTGGCCTGATGGGGTAGGGAATCTTACCATTTCAGGGGAAACCTAAACTTAGGTCCGGGCCGCCTGTCATGGTGTTAGCTCTGGCAGCCTCACAGCTATAATCATTTAACTAAGTCAGATGGCCTGGGGTATACTGAGCTATACCCAATGAAAGTTCCTGACTTAAATTCTAGCTTGTGACCTAATTAATAACTGCTAGCTATATTAATTTCTATGTTGCCTATATCAGAAAATTGTTGTCTCTTCCATTACCAAGTATGTGACTGAGCCACTGATAAACTGGTGATAATAGATACTGCCATATGAGATCAATGATTGTAATAATATAACTCTAGATATGGGAAGAAGCAACAAGAAGGAATATTTTCCTGGACCAAGAGGCTATTAAGACAGGTATGGTCCAGAGACTTTTGCTATTCACAGGGCCTAGTCCAATAACAGCATGTTGAGTGACCTATCAATGGAATCTCTGCTAGACCTGGAAATGAGCCTTTCCAGCCCCATGGGACACAATGGCCATGAAATGCCCCCAAAACATGGTCAAATCTGTGGCTATGAAGGGGCCCTGGCAACTGAAAACTGGCACTTGAAGACTGCCTGCACAAAGATTAAATCATGGCCACTACAACTGCCGAACTTCAACACCCCTTGAAAAGAACTCAGGGTGGCTCTCAGAAATGAGGCACTCAATCCGTGCTCTGGGAAAAATGGACAAAGCAGGCCTTTAGATAGTCAGATGTTTGCAGGTAAAGATGTGTTCTTTTTTATGAGCCCAAATTCTTCCATCTTCTCATACCTACAGAAACACTAACATCATGTGCCAATGTCAGGTTCCAATTCTCCTGTCTAGACTTTCTCCTAGGCACCCCGACAGCTCTTCTCTACTTTTATGCATCTTTAGTCCTCTTGTTAAGTTTGTTTCTTTGAGAATGAAACAAATGGATCTCCAAATGGTAACACAAAAATATCACCTGGCCAACAGCCAAGTGTTCACCTGCCCTGCTGTTGGCTCACAGAAGCATAAAATCATACAGTCTTGCAAAGGTGGTTAAATTATCTAGACTTTGATAACTGCACCCTTGTACTGACAGACTGTGGCAAGACTACAGAAGGACCACTGTATGGACCAACTTCTCAACTTTGAGAACTGTTTATTAGAACACTCCATCAATTACTGTGAATGGACTGTTTTCACTAAAACCTACAATATGTTCTATACTGTTACTTATAGAGTTAATTAGACTGGTTGTGTTATTTTGCCTTGTTCCAATGTTCTTCAGCCTTAACAATCCTGGGGTGGACTGTTAGGGAACTGTACAAAAATAGTCTTGTTTAGGCTTCACAGACAAAGCAGAACAGCCTCTGACCTTGCTTCTAACCTAACTGGACACTGCCCTGACTGGGAGTGACTGGGAGTGACTGCCTGCTGTGAGTGCAAGACTTGAAACACCATAGATAAGATGGGAGAGAAATCTTGAGATTGTTGAGCCCCTGGAGGGGGGCCTGGCCAACCAAGCCCCAGGCTTAGTCATATTCCAAGTTTTACAAGACAAAAACAAACAGCATTAAAGGGAAGCCAGGCTTGCAGTCTGGTTACAGATTGACCATGATGTCAGTTTGCCTTCACCCTGGGATTATAAACAGGAACCCCAAATAGCAATCTTTGAAGTCTCACCCACATAGTGGACTCACTGCCTGGGACCCTTTCCGAATTGGGACTCCAAACATGCTGTGACACAAATGGACTTCCCAGCAATGATTAAGGCTGGATGTTGCTCAAAAACCCAATTTAGTGATGCGTTCTCTGCTCTATTTCTCTTTTCTTTTAATGTTAGTATGTTGAAAGTAAGCTAGATAATTCTCTAATAAATATATTATTTATTTGTATATAACAAGTGGCTTGTTTTGTTAACAAACCCTTTGAACCTGAGACGAAGGTGAAAACTTTCAGCAAAAGGGCAAGCAACAGACCTAATGAGTGAAGTATGTATTGTTTCCACTGCTTGTTTTCATCAGGTGAGCCCTTAGTGGGTTAAAGGGAGAACAGACAGTTTGCAAATTTAGCAGGAGCAGCACTGACTTCCAAAAGTTTGAAGTTTGCTGAGAACTCGTGCTGCAGAAGGCAGCAGAAGGCAGCTTGGTAGGTTAGAGAGTTCTGGAGTTGAAGACTATTTACAGCCAAGCATGGTAGTTGGCACAGCGGAGAATTTGGGCTGAATGACAAACTTCAGAGGGTCCTGAAGTGACTGGGTGAAGAATAAAACACAAGAGTACTGACTGCTGGAGGAAAGAGGAGGTAGTCAGAGCTCAGCCTGGAGAGAAGTCTGTCTGCACATGAGATTTCATCCTTGGCCTTGCGAGGTAGTGTTTTCATCAGTTAGTTGGGCATAGAAATCCGTAGCATGCTGTTAAGGTTTGTGGAGCACACAGATCGGTTGGAACACTTCGCAGTGACTGTGTTTGAGAATGAACGAGGAACTGATGTGCAAGAGGTCTGCAGTAAATGTAAGAGAAATGGAAAGTCCTGAACTCAGGTTCCCAAGTCACTCATTTGTTCATGCAACAGATATGCACTCAACAGTTATGAGCTGATAAATGGCTCTGGTATTTCGACTGTAAGCAGAATCAAGAGGTTTGCCCTCGATGGCCCTCACAGTGTCACGCAGAAGGCAGATGTTAAATGCAGGTAAACCAGGTCAGACTACCTGCCGTGAAGGAAAACACCACATTCGGAGAGAGAATCATGTCTTAAAAATATTAGTAGATTGAGGAATGAGGGAAATTCTCTCCCAGGAAGAGGCATTTCAACTGGATCCAGAAGAAGCAGGTTTTAGCGAGGAAGTGATTGTGGGCAGAGAGCATTCTAGTTGGAGGAAACAGCATGTGCAAAGGCCCTGAATCATGAAAGAGGGTGGGATGCTCAGGGACCTGATCATTACCAAAGGCCAGTGTGGCTGAAACTTAGTGAGCAGGCAAAGGGCGACACCAGGTGAGATTTTTAAGCATGTCGGGGAGGTGGTGGCACGTTTGTGT